ATAATATTTTGTGTAGTTTCAGCTCCAGCTCGGCGACCCAGATGAGGTAACTTCATGAAATGAACGTATTCACTTCATCTTTCTCCACGTTGAAATCAGAACATCTAGAAATGTAGAACACAGAACGTTGTGGTTGCCAGGTTGGTGGAAATCCCTCAGTCTGCGCCACACAAGCTCTTAAACACCCAACAAGTATTTGGACACGTCTGACGGCTAAAACCCGCTAATTAAGAAACTCTTTGGTTGGATTTATTGGAGCCCAAACATGATTTTGATGTTTGGGCTCCAAACATGTTTGAGTGTTAAATATAAAAACTGTCAGAAGGTTTTTCAAGCGTTAGGTCGACGTTAAACGAGGACGAAGCGACAGGATATCAGGGAGCGTTTTTGTTTTTGGTAAATATTTATTTCAACCGAATCAATCTTACGTCACAGTGTGAAGAATAAATCAGGTTTCTCTGTGATCAGCTGTGAGTGTTGCTCAGATGTGGGTTTATACGTTCTCTGAGCGTTCTGTGATGCTGCTGAATCAGTCCTGATGATCAAACTGCAGAGTTCATGTTTACAGCTTGGACCGACTCCCTCTCAGTGTTTAATAGAAATGTTTGGGATCGAGTCACGTTTTACTGGAGATGAACGAGATCAACAGCAAAATAAAGAGAAACTAGACGACATGTTCCTGGCTCGCTAACAGGCTAGCCTTTAGCTAACAGTCGGTCATTAAAACCTCCAGCTTGGCCCGTTTCATGAGTGGAACTTTTCTGGTGTGGGAACCAGTTCTGTCCATCGTGAACCGGTCCACGTGTTCTGAGGTCTCCTGTTTCTCCAGGAGGTGGAGCTCTACAAGTCCAGCCAGCAGGAGAAGCTCGGTCTGACCGTCTGCTACCGGACCGACGACGAGGAGGACCTGGGGATCTACGTCGGAGAGGTGAGCGAGACCGACTCAGTTCTAGCTTCACTCATCCATCACTTCTCCGTCTGAGTCATTCATCCAGCCAATCACCTTCCACCAGTTTACTCATTCATGTATTCATGCAGGTTTTAATAATTCAGCTCCGTTCCTAATTCATCTACTCGTCTGTCTTCTCCTCGGCCGCTTTGCTGACTTGTTTTTGTCGATTATTTCAGGTGAATCCAAACAGCATCGCAGCAAAGAACGGACGAATCAGAGAAGGGGACCGAATACTGCAGGTGAACAAGTCCGCCGTTAATCCTCCTCCAGATCTGGAAAAGTTTGGTCACATTAAAAAACCAACAGAACGCTAACTTCACTTCAGTTCTAAAACAGTTGTTACCTCAGTATCGTACTTTAATGTGTTATTGTGAGTTCATTCTGTGTGTTAATGATGCATTTTAGGCTTTTTTCAACGTTTAACACAATTAATATGACTGTATGAGTGATTGTGGAAAACATTAAAGTGGCAGGGTACCAAAACTACCTGGTTAGGTCTAGATACCAAAACTACCTGGTTAGATCTAGACACCAAGACTAACTACTACCTTTCTGTTTCCCGGTGATCAGAACTGATGATAATGTTCCTACTAGAAGGTGGAGAAAGTTCCTACTGGCCTGAACGTATGAGAATGACCAGAATCAGGCTTTTTCTAATGGCCAGCAGGGGGCGACTCCTCAGCAAACATTTTCATCTGGAGTTTATGACCTCAGTCACTAGTTTCAAGTGTCCTTGAATGCAGCATGAAGTTCACTTTGTCCTCTACGGCCCCACTTAGAAAACAAAAGAAGATTTAAGTTCCTGCTTCTAAAAGCAAAGACGGTAACCGCCAAATTCCAAACTGTAGTCGACAAACCGACGAGCCACTCCTTGGTGGCTACATCCATCTTTTACATACAGTCTATGGGATGTCTCAGCTATCTCCATGACAACCAAGCAAACTATCTGCTGAGGAGGAACACAGCAGGTGGTTAAAGAAACCCTGTGACTGAAGTTCACATTTCATCTTTAAAGCTCAGCATCACCTTCCCATGAGCCACTGCTGTCGTGGGTAAGTGTGGCTGTGTGTCGTCGAGCAGGTGAAGCAGCGACTCTGAATTCATTCTCTGATGCTTCTGCCAACTTAAACACTTGCTTCCTGCAGATTGAAACCACAAACTCGTCCTCCGCCACACGGGCAGACTCTGTGAGGCTCAGATTGAAATCAAACTATGCAAATTTACACCTGGGACCTGCAGGACGGCGTCGTCCAATCAGAGCCGCCGCCGGCAGCCCAGTTACTACCTCACTAAAAATAGACCGAGAGGGATGCAGGAGGAGAGTCTCCACCAGACAATAGAACAGACGGTTCTGATTCTGCAGCACCTTTATCCACTGACCAGAGTTCTAGCTTCAGACTGTGAATGTTCCAGAGGTCCAGGTCCTTGAAGTCCACAGAGGAGGGTCCAGATTGATCACTTTAATGGACTTTTTCCATCATTTCTGAGCCTCAGAACTTCATCAGTACAGCAGATAGACACATGACATTTAGGAGGAAGAACACATCTGGGTTCTGCTAGAAACTGACACCAGATCAGTTCTACATCCATCCAGGTGTCTCAGTCTGAACACTGGACCTGGGTTCTGGTCCAGAATGACTTGAAAGAGACACGAAACAACACGAACACAAAATGACTAAAATACAGCAAACAGCTCAAGTGAGACACAAAAAGAGACAAAACGACAGAACAAGACAGAAAATCTGACAGAACCTCAAATCAGTTCTACATCCATCCAGGTCTGAACACTGAATCTGGTTTCTGTTCATTTTCTCTACAACTCAAGTTAGGAGAAGTACTGGCGGCCCAAAGTGACGACAACACGGTCCAACACACCTTCAGCTCCTTCTGAATGCCTCAGAACCTGTGAAAATCAAATAATAATAGTAATTAAAATTCAATTTACCAAAAAAGTCCAAACAGACCCAAAAATTAGACAAAATGACTGAATTTACATAAATGAGTGAAAATGGTCCTAAAAGACTCCATTAGTCAAAAATGTCCAGAGTTCTTAAAAACGTGTTCAGATCTGAGCAACATGCAGGACAACGAGTCCAAATCCTCCAGAACCGCTTTTTAAATGAAAAAAGGAAATCCAAACTGAATCAAAGATGATTAAATCGCATCTATAACCAGCTGCTAGCATCAGTATTATGGGATGTCTTACATTTATGAAATATTTAGATGAATTTTAAACCAGTTGTTGTTCATTAAATCAAATTCTGCGTCTTTTCGGACCATTTGTTGAGATACTTTGGTTAATTTGGGACATTCTGGGAAACTTTAGAGACAATTTGGACGAGTTGGAGGTATTTTCCAGTGATCGTGGACGTTTTTTTTCTCTTTCTGGTTCATTCTCGGGTCGTTTAGGGCAGCTTTAAATCACTTTAGTCAGTGTTTTGTCATTTTAGTCAAGTTTCGAGTCGTCTTAGTCATTTTGAATAACAGACAACACATCCAACATNATTCTGCTAAATCAATAAATTGTTAGTCATTAACATCCCATGGATCTAACCAAACCCTCAAGTTATCTGGTGGATGTTATTCCAGGAAATTGTGAAAATCTTTTGTGAAAATGCAGCAAATGTCTGACACGAAAACAGAGGATCGATCACAATGTCAGTTTTTAGAAAGGATGAGTTCCGAAAAACTTTGGAGCCTACTTCAGCCTGAGTCTGAAAATCCTGAAAGTTCTTTACTCACACAGATGAAGCAGAAGATTTCCAGCGTTAAGATTTTATTTTCATGCATGGAAACTACAAACCAAACGTCTCCCTGCAGAGCCGGAGGACGACAACGACGACGACGACGACGACGACTCCCATCACCACGAGCTGTCGGCCATCAACGAGCTGCCGGAGCGCGACAGCAGCAGCGCCTACAACACCGGCGGGGAGAGCTGCCGCAGCACGCCATTGGTCAGCACCGAGCAGATCCCGCCCCTGCAGGAAGATGAAGACGGCGAGGCGGGGAGAGGGCGGGGCCTGACGTCTCCGCCTCCTCTGCTCCCCCTCGGCCGCCTCCCCCCTCTGAACTCCCCCCTCACCCCTCGGCGCCACCGGGACCGAGAGCGCCGCCACTCCAACCTCAGCTGCTCCTTCTCCCCCAGCACATACAGGAAGTATGAAGCAGCCAATGGCAGCGCGGCGAATGGCTCAAGCTCCACCCCCTCCACGCCGTCAAAGTTCAGGTCGGGTTTCCACTGCTGGTCTTTAAATGTATGTTTTCTGCTTCTTTATAAATAACACTGGACGTGTGTTGTCATCGTCAGATCGCTGAGCAGGGAGGTGGCATCATCATCATCATCATCATCCAGGAGAGCAGATGGAGGGCGGAGCTCCAGAGCAGGTGATTCTCTATTCTAACCAATCAGAGCCTCCTCAGAACCAGCTGGTTCTTTACCTGCAGTAGCTTTAGTTAATGCAGCAGAGTTTCACCTTCATACGGTGAATGTTCTCAGAGTTCCAGGACCTTGAAGTACGGATCAGTTTTACTTTGGACTTTATAATTGTAAACGTGAAGCATGGAGGAGGAACCATCATCATGTCAGGATGCTACGCTTTCCAGACAAATTTGTGATTTTGGTTCATTTTTAACTCATCCAGAGGTTCTGATTAATCTCAGACAGGTTTCTGTCACTTTGGACAAAGTATTTGTTATTTTTCTCAACTTTTAGTCATTTTGGTCAAATTCTGAGTAACTTCAGCCAAAGTACTTGTTTTATTGGTGATTAAAATGAATAAATAAATAAATGAGGACAGATTTTCAAACCATTTTGGAGACGTTTTTGTCATGTGGGTCAAATTTTAAAACGTTCTGGTGAAGTTTTTGCCGTTTTGGTTTCAAGTTTCAAAGCATTTCAGATTTTCAGGTTTTTGGTGTTTGACACGATCTGTGTGTCGTTTTGGACAAATTAATAATGCTTTTGGTGAACTTTTAGTTAAACTTTAATGGACTTTTTCCATCATTTCTGAGCCTCAGAACTTCGTCAGTACAGCAGGTAGACACATGACACTTTAAAACTGAACCAGATCAGTTCTACATCCATCCAGGTCTGACTATCTTCAGACGAGGTTTTGTTCTGCACCAGCTAACAAACACCTCAAACAAAACTTCCCAAATGACAAAAACATGCTTGAAATAAATATTTTTTCCCAAAATGGCTCCATATTTGTCCAGAATACTTCAAATGTGTCCAAAAAGCCTGAAAACGATTTCAAACTATTTAAAACATCACCGAACTCACAGTCGACTGACTTTTCATCCTGAGATGTCGTGTCTGTCTGCTGCACTGATGCATTTATGACGCTCAGAAATGATGGAGAAGGTCCATGAAGAAGGACTAAACGTTCCTGTTGTTGTGACTGCAGGTGGAGCCCCCCGGAGGCCTGACGGTGGAAGTGCAGAGTCGAGTCCATATTTCACCAGAAGACGCCACAACAAACCTCCAGAACGCTACCAGAGCTGCATGACGCTGCCGTCTGAGGGCCTGGTGGAGCCTCTGGACCGGGTCAGGGACCGGGTCAGGGACCGGGCCGGGCCGGAGGGCGAGGACAGAGGGCCGGGCACCGGCAGCAGCGGCCCCGCCAGTCCCCACAGCGTGAATAGCGCCCCCTGCCCTCTGGAGGACCAGCATGTGGGGGCATCCAGGCTGGGACTGGCCTTACCGCTGGTACTGACCCAGTCGTCGCCAACAGCGTCACCGCAACGCATGGAGTGGAAGGTAAAGCGATTTAACGTCCAGATAGACCTGTAGTACCGGCTGTGTGTGAATTAATTAATGACTATTTTTACTGCATTTAAATCAGTTTTATTACCGTGTTTCATACGGAGGGTTTTTTCTACGTCTTTGTAAACACATGAGGACAAACCACATTACCAAAGGGAACTAAATAGTGCTAAATAGTTCCACATTTTAACATGTGGCTCTGTGGGAACGTTTGAAGCCTCAAGTGGACATTTGAGGAACTGCAGTTTTCCGCTTGTTCTCACAGCACGACCTGCGTTACACATTCTGATGTGAAATACAACGTTCACATCAGAAATCTTGTTTATTTTTACAAATGATAGTTTGTTCTTTTACAACATTTGACAGTTTTTTTATGTTTGTTTGTTTTTCTGCTGTTTTATTGTATTTAAATCAATGACCAATATAACTTTGTAGGTATAGAATCACATCGTACGCATTTCAAAGTGTCTGAAAACATGAACTCCTATTGGATTAGAATCCACTAAAAAAGAATAAAAAATCATTATTTTGAAGTTGGTGGACGTTAGAGTGTTTTTAATGTTTTGTTTCTGGCATGCAGTCTTTTTTTTTTTTAACAATGTCGGTGATGTTTACTGATATAATTTAAAAATGTAGTTAATGAGGCGGTGATTTTTGTCACATCAAGCAGCTCTGATATGAAGCCCTTGACTCTGAGTGAGTCTAAGTGATGGGGCAGCGTTTCCAGAAGATCTGAGGATTCATGGACTCATCAGATCAAACTTGTCTCCTGAATCCAGCTCGAAGCCTCCTGACTTTTATTAATCTGAAGTCAAGGAGCTGCAGATGAACAAAACCCTCCCAGAGCTCAGATAAAAGAAGCCTGAATTTAAAATGTTTAAAACAGAGAGACGACGGTTTGTCCTTCTTCAGGTGAAGATCCGCAGCGACGGAACTCGATACGTGGCGAAGCGTCCGGTCAGAGATCGACTGCTGAAGGCTCGAGCCATGAAGATCCGAGAAGAACGCAGCGGCATGACGACGGACGACGACGCCGCCAGCGAGATGAAGCAGGTAGAGCTAGAANTTCCTGCTTCCTGCTTCCTGTTCTTCATACTTAACATGATTTTATAAAACCGTTTTGTCAAAAGAGAATTTTTAACAACTTATAGTAAACCGTTGCAACGGCCGACCCGACCCAACCCGACCCAACCCGACCCAACCCGACCCGACACTCGTGATGTTTACATCATTAATAATCAGTCTGATGTGCGTCTTTAGATCACTGATCGTCTGGTCAGTCACAGGCTAGAATACAGTCTAAAGCTGATATCTGATGTTCTGACCAGCGGTCCAACACCTCAACATGTTCTGGTTCCAGAGGACCAAGACAAACATAAAACAAGATAACAAAACAACAAACAAGTGCGATAAAGTACGTTTGTGTGGATTCATCAGGTCGTAATCTTTGGACAGAGACTCAGCAGCAGGACGTAGCACCATGTGACACGACAGGACTTGTTGTTATTGGTTCTTGAAGACGTTCCACCTTCATCCAGGAGGTTCTGACGTGTTTTTCACATTGAACAGAACTAAATGGAGATAAAGGGCTAGATGAAGGAGAGCGCCAGGTGTTGGTGATCAACAGGTGAACTAATGACCCGCTTTGGTTCCGTTTGTCATCCAGAGTAACGACTTTAATCGAGTGTCTTAACGAGGTTCTACTTTTGATTCTATACATCAAAGTCTTCCACTAATCTGTTTACGACTCTTAATGCCGCCTCCTGCAGATCAACGGAGTCGACATCCAGAACCGAGAGGAGGCCGTCGCCATCCTGACCAGAGACGACAGCATCAACTTCTCCCTGCTGCTGGCCCGGCCCGACTTGGAGGTGAGAACAGAGGACTCGAGAGGACACGAGACGAAATGAGACAAAACACGACAAGACTAGACAAGCGAGGAAGAGACAAGACACACCACAACACGACAACAGGACATAGTACTATATGACACAACAAGACACACCACGACAAAACACGACAGGCCATAGCACTACAAGACAAGACACAACAGGACAGGACTCGGCCCAACAGGACAACAGGACAACAGGACATAGTACTATGTGATACAGCAAGACATGACAAGAGAAGACATGACGCAACAAAAGAAGACATGGCACAACATGACAACAGGACATGGTACTATATGACATGACAAGACACACCACGACAAAACATGACAGGCCATAGCACTACAAGACAAGACACAACAGGACAGGACAGGACAGTCGAGCTTTGAGACCTTTTGGACAATTTTTGAATATTCTAAATAACAGAAACACGTCCAGGGTACCAGTGATCGTTTGTATGAAGTTTCCCAAAAGTGTTGCTCCTGATGAGACGAAACAAATCTAAAATGAAAACTATCCTTCATCCAGAGGCGTAGCGCCACCTGGAGGAACGTGGAGACGACTCGGTTACAGTTCACATGCGTCTAAACCACCTTAGCTTAAAACGTGTCGCCTCTCTTGGACCGACTCTGCAGACTGACTGGGTTCCTCTGGGGTTCCTCTGGGGTTCCTCTGGGCTTCCTGTGGGGTTCCTGTGGGGTTCCTCTGGGCCTCTAAACACACAGAACATAAAGGACGTTCTCGGTGTGCAAACGCAGCGACTCGGAGTCGTGATGGATGTCTGACAGCCGAGTGTTTCTGCTGACGGTGGACTCCTGCGGTGATGAATATTCACCGCCTGACTCGGACCGATGAGCCGTCAGTCGGCGTCCGACCGGCTCTCCCGGTTACAGCCTCCTAACGAGGAAACAGGAAGTGATGGACGGCTCACCGGCAGAGCAAATGACTAATTAGGAGGTGATGGAGGAGCGGCGATAAAAACCCAGAGAGAGGAACTATTAAACCAATAAATCACCAGAGCTTCAAGGAAACGGAGAAGAAGGTTCAGTCAGGAACAACCTGAGAACCGTGAAGGAGCGTCAGTCCATCAGCCTGGTGCTCCTCCTTCTGCTTCTTAAAACCACCTGGAGCAGCTAAAAACACGAAGCTGTGACCGAGCTTCTGCAAAAGGTTTGGTGGGAAACCTGTAAAACAACCATGACAAAACCATTTACCATCAGACAGTCCTCGTACGTCGCTGCAGTGATCCGTCATGTTCTGGGATTAATAGCTTGTTTTTTTTTAAACAGTCAAAATGTAAAATGTCACCGTTTTCTGCTGTTTGGGGAAAAATCTGTGAAATAACAGTTTAAATGTTATTTTCCAGTCCTTGATGGAAGTCGACACGTTATTGTTTGGAAAAATATAAATCATTTTTTAAAATAATTTTCAGTCAACCTGTAGATTAATATTTTTTTGCTGTGATTTTATGAGCTATGTGTAATTTAATAAAACCGGGAAAATCATAAAACACCAGTAAATTCATTTAAAACTTACCTTTTAAATTGTGAAAATAAATTTGCAATGTTTTTTTTTTGCACATTTTATTTGATATTTTACGTTCAAGATGCAAATTCAGTCCGTTTTTGTAATTTTTTATATTTTCACTTAATATTTTTTTCACTTCTTTTCGTTTAAAAATGCAGAAAAACATCAATATAACAAAGGAAAGCTTCTATAAAGTGATATTATCAGCAGTAGTCGTATTGTTAATGCTCTAGTGTGATGCTAAAGGCGTTGATTTTGTCTTGTGGTGGTCTCCTGCCTCCTGTCATCAGCTTTTCTATAAAACAGAATTCTATAAAATAGGATCAAACGGACTTTTAGACCAGATTCTGGTCGTTTACGCTGTTTAGAGTGAAACTGCCTCCACACGGTGAACCAGCCGCTGCAGCTTAAACGAATCTGGGGAAAGATTTACGGGCTGAGGAGAGACAGAAGAAGACGTCAGAGATGAGAACGGAGGAGACGATATTTATCCATGTGACCTGATTTATCGTGTCAAGGTCGCAGGCGAGCATCCATCAGGAACACGTGTTCAGATCCACATACGTGTCGCTTCTTCCATGACCGAAAGAAACTAAATATGGTTAAAAAAAACAACAACAAACATAAAACTGTGGAATTCACAAACAATATCAGCTTCAGATATCTGGAAAATTATTAGATTTTAGCTCATTTAAATACAGAAATATGAAATAATTACTGTATTTAAATGAGCTAAAATATCCTCATTTTACAGATGTTTATTATTATTATTATTATTATTATCATTATAAATAATGATAATAATAATAATTTCAGCCCTTGTAAATAATATCTACTTTAAAAAAACAATATTAAACATGTAAATATAAACCAATTAATAATATTAAATATTAATACTTCTAAACATACAGGTATTTTAAAAAGGGGACATTCTTTCAAATAATAAAAACATCTGTACATTAAGGATTCATTAGCTGATTTAAATACAGTTTAATGGTGTGTTTTTATTATTTATTACTATTTTATTTGCTTTTTTTTTACAGTCACAATTCAACAAACAGGAAAATCTATCATGAATCTACGTCTATTATTTACTGTTTGTCAGTCTTTGATATACAGAATTTTTCTTTCAAATAATGTCAAAATCTGCACAATAACATTTAAGCAGATTTAAATCCAGTAAACTTCCAGCAGATTGTTTCAGCTCAGAGCAGCGTGAGGAAATGCAGGCGTGTGCAGCCAATCGGGACTACTTTCAGCGGCGCATTAATCCACATTTTCTGTTCCAGCAGCAGGACGGTTTAATGTGAGTCTAATAGTTTCTGGAACAAACTGGAGCTTTATGCTGACAGTCATAAATAAAAGTTTCCCAGACCGCAGACACACAGGAAGACGCTGCATGAAGCTGCAAACGAGAAGCAAATGAAAGTGAATGGATTCCATACAGGAGGCGACGTTCTCCAGCCTGCTCCCAATAAATCATCCAATCACAGGCCGGACAGAGTCTCAACCAGTTCGCTGAAATGTAACCGTTAAATCTTTGCGTTCGCTCGTGTGTGACTTCATGAAACTCGTCTTCAGCTCACGTCTGCTTCTGCTGCAGAACAACGATTCAGTTTATCCGCTTTAACGATGAAATGTACAACGGACCTCCTCCTACATGTCATGTGTCTATCTGAAGTTCTGATGAAGTTCTGACGCTCAGAAATGATGGAAAAAGTCCATTAAAGTGATCAACCTGGACCCTCCTCTGTGGACTTGAAGGACCTGGACCTCTGGAACATTCACAGTCTGAAGGTAGAACTCTGGTCCGTAGATAAAGGTGCTGCAGAATCAGAACCAAATGTTCTGAGGAGGTTCTGGAGGAACTTTGATTAGATTTGGCAGATTTTTCGCCCCACCAACTCTGAAGATGCTAAAAATCTCTTGAGTTTCATTTTCACGTATTTTTTCTGTCTTTGCTGCAGAATGAGAACGTTGTGGATCCAGAGGAGGAGCTGATGGACGGAGCTGATCTACCTCCAGACCGTCGGGCCTCCTCCTGCTCCTTCACCTCCTCCCACCTGTCCGGATACTACCGGCTCCACAGACCAGGACCAGGGCCAGGAGGAGGCCCAGTCGGCCCTGGGGGAGGCAGGGAGGGAGCCGGGGCTGAGGAGGATGAGGAGGATGATGAGGAGGACCGAGGGGAGAAGGAGGACCAGGAGCCTCCGGTGCCGCTGCCTCCCCTACTGGGTCTGGCTCCGCTGCTGTGCACCAGCCAGGACTTGGACAGCGGAGTGGGTCGGACCGACGACAGCACCGAGCCCGACCTGCTGGGAGACCAGACCAGCACCTGCAACACCAACACCACCAACACACCAGGAAGCACCAGGAAGTTCAGGCCCGGGCCCAGCCCCAGGTGAGACCCTGGATCGAACCAAGGTCTTGTTAGGACCTTGGAATTAACCAAACCCAGTCCCGTGCAAGACTCTGGATCTAACCATACCCCAGGTAGGACCCTCGAACTAATCCAGTCCCAGGTATGGCCCTGGATCTAACCCAGTCCTAAGTAAGACCCTAGATCTAATCATTTAACCCAGTCCTAGGTAGGACCCTAGATCTAATCATTAAACCCAGTCCTAGGTAGGACCCTAG